AGGCCAGGTCCCTAGTAGTGGGTGCGCGAGAGGCAACCACACATTGATGTTTCTCTCCCTCTCTTTCTCCTTCCCTTCCCCTCTAAAAATAAATAAATAAACTCTTTTTTTAAAAAGGCAGAAAACACATAAATTAAAAAACATGACTCAACTATATGCTGTCTTCAGCAGACTCTGCTCCATTGGTGTTAAAAATATTAGCATGTTGACTCAACTACAGGTGTATGCTTTCTTAGTAGGCAAAGATATTAGGAGGCTTGGGGTGACAGATGAATATTTTTGGGGGAGGCAGCTTTGTTGAGGCATAACTGATGTATAAAAGAGCTGCATATGTTTGGAAATGTACAGTTTGATGAGTTTGGGCATGTCCCTATATCTATGCCACTAGGACCACAATCAGGTAATGCATTTAGGATTGTTCAGTTGTAAAGAGCCCCAATTATTTATTAATATGAAAACAACAATCTCTCTTTAAGAAATTTTTAATTACTTTATATTTTCATGATAAAACTGAAGAAACTAATAAAAAATTAATACAGTAAGACATAAAAAAATAGAAATAACAGACTTTGTTTACCTTTATATTTATATATAGAGAGAAACAGATGTTCCTAATTTTAAAGTAATTTGCCTCAAGTAATAGAATAGATTTAGAATCAGAACAATGGACAGAACATAAATTCCCAATTAGCTATACAAGTCTAGCCCAGGAAATTGGGTAAAGATTATAAAACCAAGAGATACCACTTCCTGATCAAACAGAAGCCCTGAAGAAAGGATTTGTCTGTTAGAGCCCCAGGCTCCTTAGGAGAACTCCATTCACACAAGAAGGACAAAACCAGGTACAATGATGCACTGACATTAGAATACAAAGCTTCCTTGTTTTTATGGGTTTCTTCCCAAATGCTTTTACTCCAAGGGCAATAAATTAAATTCTACAATGAAGTGTCAGTGGTCAGCAAGTATTATACTTGCCAGATGAATTAATAAAATCAGGAAATCATACTACTGGAAGCTTTACCTAAGAAGGTATACAAGTCTACATGCATACCCCTTTTAAGAAAAATATGATTATACAAATGCAATTGTGAGAATGCATAGAAGAAAAGTTTATTTTGAGATTTTATTTTGTCATATTTATATGTAGCCATATTGATTATAGGCTTTAAGAGCAACTGACACTGTATTAAAATTTATATTTTCAATTTGTAGGATTTAAATAAAAAACAAAACAGAACCACAAATAGCTATATTTTCTCCTCTAAAAACAAAATTATTGTTTTTATACTGCAATGTAAATTTATTAAAGGCTTTTTTGTTATCTAACTTACTTCTTATAGGAAACTGAGAGGTGCACAAGGAATCATATGATAAGAAAACTGAATGACAAAGGTTTAAAAAACTTCACTGGGATTAAGAGTCTTGGTACTTTTCTATTTATTTTTTGAGAAAACAAAATATTCTAAAGCATTCTTATATTATTAGTGTTACATATAATGAGCACCTAGTATTAATGTGAAAATTACTATTAAAAATAAAATTAATGCATTTTTAATCTCTTTACATTAGCAGATGTGGTAATCTGCATCCAGATAAAAATTCATATGAAAGACAGGTCTATATAACACAGCAATTTACTTCACACCCAAAATATCCACAAAGCTCTTCTTAATATTGATTATCTTCTAAGTTTATGTGCAAATTAAATTGCTAGATATAGCATATAATGTTCAAAAGACCAAATCACCCAGAGTTGCCATAATACTCAGATAATTTAGTCTTGGACTAAAATAAAGCACTTTATAAAAGTCTGATATGTAGCCATAGAGCCCAATCAACAAATCTTTCCTGAATAGGTTCAAGAGGATATTCGGCTCAACTGATGCATGAAGTTATAAGGCTATGGTCAAATGACACTTTCCAACTCCTTTTCATGTAATAATCTTACTATGCAAATGCGTATGTGAACCTTTGGATCTGTTCCCAGAGTTTACATAGTTCTAACTTTAGAGCATCTGCTGGCTGGGAAGATAGGCTAAGTTCTAACATACATTCAAAGATGCCTAAAATTCTGCTTTGTTTCCACAATGCTATGCATTGAGATGGCTCATGGTACCATTCTCAATCATAGGGACAAAAGGAGTCTTAGACTTAAAAACTTCACAGGAATATGTGACTATTAAATAAAATGTAGTGATTACTGAAATTCACTAATCTTTCATACTAAATAATTTTCTATTATCTGATCAGCAAATACCTGTCAATTTTTAAAGATCAAAGTGAATTTAGAGGAAATACAATCCTAAGAAAAAGGTAACCCATAATGCATCATAGGGGCTTAGAATCAATTTTGTTAAGCATTCTAAGAAAATAGTGACAATACAACATTGCTCCTAGTAACACTAAAAAATATTAGAATCAAAATAAAATGGCCAACTCAATGTCCACATCTTGTTTTCTGAATACAAACTCCAGTAAGAGAAACCAGAGTTCCTTGGAGAAGTGCTTGACTCCAGGTGTACCGAAGGCAAAACACAAGATCAACTTGGAGCATCTTGCGCCAGAAAAAAAGAAGTACGCTAAGAATGGGGGCAAGATGAAAGGACACAGAGGCCAGCCAAAAAGAGCTACTATGAGCCAACGCTTGTATGATTCCAACAACAAAATAAATAATGACAGTTTGGGATTTTAACACTTAGAATAAAATAAATACTTGTAAGCCAACTGACATAAATAAGTAAATAAATAAATAATAGAAGGCAGAGCTCTTTCTTACAGAAAAATTCCAAGTAATAAAAGTAACACCTATTACTTTTTGCCTGGCTGGTGTGGCTCAGTGGATTGGGCATTGGCCTACAAACTGAACGGTTACTGGTTCAATTTCTGATCAAGGCACATGCCTGGTTTTTGGGCCGGTCCCCAGTTGGAGGTGTGCAAGGGGAAACCAGAAGATGTTTCTCTCCCACATCGATGTTTCTTTCCCACTCTTTCTCCCTCCCTCCCCTCTTTCTGAGAATAAATAAATAAAATCTTTTTTAAAAAAAGTAATAGGAATCAGGAAAATAGAAAGTCACCATTACAGTGCCACAGTAAATTGCTGTAGCCTACAAGCCAAGATCAGTCCACTGATGCTAAAATTAGTGAGGCAAGCTTGAAAAGAAACAGAGTATTTATATAGTCTCAAAGTACCTTCCCCCAAATACTTACAATCTCAAAGGAAAAAAGAGTAATTTTATAGTTAGCAACTCGGTAAAAAGACACCAGATGTCTTGTTACCTCTGATATAATGCACTGGAAAGGACATATCACTGATGAGGCAATCTTGTCAAAAAATGCATAACCTCAATCTAATCACACGAAAACACCAGATAAACTCAAGGTGAGACAGTCTACAAAATATCTAACCAGGACTCGTCAAACTGTTACGGTCATGAAAGGCAAGACAAAACTTAGGAACCGTCACAGATCTATGAGAATAAAGAGACACGATGACAGAATGTAATATGGAATTCTGGATGGAATCATAAAAGCAAAAAGGACACTCATGAAAAAACTGGTGAAATTCTAATAAGGTCTACAGTTAATTAATATTACGGTATCAACACTGATTGCTTGGTTTTGATCATTGTACTATGGCTATTCAAGACCTTAAGATTGACAGTATAAGGGAAGTGTCTATAATTCTTGTAAGTTCCTTGTAAGCCTAAAATTATTTCAAAATAAAACAATAAAAAATAGATACAATGGCTCATTCTGAGGCTAGAAGAAAAATAATAGCAATTATGACCCAAATTTTTTCAAAGTTATTTTAACTGTCATTTAGATTAAGGGGAAAACCCACATATTTTAAGATGATATAAGGAAAATTAAATTCAGAAAAGTAATTGCTAATGTAATTTTCTTTCTAATTATGGCAAAAAAAGATTTTAACATGGCTAACTGTTGCATAAATAGATTGAAATAAGTTACATAAGAATCTTCGTTTTCATTTTAAGAAGTCATTCTTTAGGGCTCAAATCTTTCTTTACCTAGTTGCATTCAATATTTCAAAAGCAGAAAAATAAAGATGGCACTAGTTATGTCTAATATAGGCCCTTAAACATCACTATGACAGTACTTTTCAATTATCTCGCTCCTTCTAGAATGTGAAATGTGAAGGCAAGAACCATCCATCTAGGCCAACTGCATGCCCCTAGTCCAGCATGGTTCTCCAGATATGAGGTACTAATAGTTATTAGCTCAAAAAAAAAAAAATTTAAGTAAAAGATCTTTCTAGTTGAAAGGACTGACTTTTCATACATTTAAAATGCTTTTAATTATAAGAAACAATTCCCATGAAATTTATGACTGTAAGAAGAAAACAGATTTGAAGGTTCCAATCTGCTATTTTGAAATTGAATATTACATGTGTTATAGCTGAAACAGTTTTAAACTAAAGATCTTCAGTAAAATAGCTTTTTTGAAGCTGCTAGCTTCACAAATATCATAGTGAATTAAAGAACGTATTTAACCTACATAAAAAGCAGGGTACTATTTTGATCAGCTTTATCAATATTTTAGATTTTCTGGACCTAAATATGACTCAAATATAAAACAAACAAGAGTATGTATTAAATACTACTCAAACGAATGCATAGCTGTTTACACAAGTATCAAACATGGAGCCTAAGTACTTTTCTTAGATGTTTTAAAGGTTATGCAATACAAAAAAAAGTGAACATCGCATTGTGTTCTTCTAGATATGTGCTATGGCAACATTTAAATTTTGCCTGATATACAGTATTATTTTTTAAAATTTTGGAACAATAGTTATGATTATGTTTTATTGAATTTGCTTGTTAGACAAAAGCCCAAAGGAAAAAAAGTTTGTTTTTTTTTTTAAAAAGGCAAAATTCAACATAGGAAGGAAGAGAGAAAAGGAAGGAAAGAAGGAAGGAAGAGGGGTGGGAGGGAAGAAGGACAAGTACCAAGTAAAAATATAAGCTGATAAATGCCCTTACCTTCACTTCTTTTTTCTGCTTGTTTTGATGCATTTTCTTCTTTTTTTTGTTTTGCTGCTAAGAGTTCCCGCTTTAATTGCCTTGCTTCTTTTCTGAGCTCTTCACTATAAAGCAAACACAATTATATGAATATATAATATACTGAAAGAAAGTTATTTAACAAAAACAAATAATTCTGGTTTTAAGGTACATAATCTCTAAGAAAAACAAAGTGGATAATGTAATTCATTTTGTTTCTGTGTATGTGTATTTCTGGTATGGAAATAAATTATTATAAAATACCTCTTTTCAATATATCAAACAGAAGTAGGTAAGTGATAAATGAACCACTGTTCTCTCTCTAATTTACTTGCAAATTTAACATTCTGGTTTCAGTTTAATAATTCATGGAGTTCCAAATCAAAGCAAAAATTTTGATACAGTACTGATTTGTCTTCAAAACTCATTGAATTCTTGAACTAGCATAAATAACTATCATTTATTAAGTAATTTTTAAAAGCTAGTTGCAGTGCTAAAATTTTTATAAACTCAATCTTTAAATTCAATTTTTAACCCATTTAACATCACAATTTGACAAATAATTTCCTCTTCTGTGAAAACTACCAGACTGATGTATTCTTATGATAAATACAATCATATATTAAAGGCAAACTGAAATGTGCCTCACTGTAAGTCAGAAGTTAAAGACTAGCTTCTACAAGACAATTTTAGGACAGGATATTCAAATTCATGCCTTGGGAAAAAATTATTACGTGCCATTTGATGAACGCTTAGGATCAGTCATGAATAGTCAAAACTATGCATTTTATATCTGTGAATGTCAAACATTCACTCTATTTTCAACTAAAGCTAGAGTGGGTCACAGAGACAGACTGAGAACACTCTAGTCCAAGAGGCTGTCATTCTGGAAATGGTTCCAAGGACACCAATGCCAATGTTTAGTGGAATCTTAAGTCTAGGTGATTCTATACTGATTCAGCCTTTAGTTCTTCCTCCTGATCTCTAATACGTTTTTTACCAAATCTAATGTTTTTTACCACTGTTCTATAATAAGTCACCAAACTCATAGGTCTTACAATGTACATGACTCAGTTTTTTTTACCTCTTTTCCACATTAAACACACAGTCATATTTTGTATTTGCTTAGCCTTCAGAATCCTGAATTCTGAAACTTCCCCCTCTGATCAACATCTACTACCTTTTACTTTCTCAGTCATTCATTTGTACTGAACCTGTGATCATTCGTTAATCCTTACCCATTGTTCATGATCTACTGGCCCTAATCTAACCCCAACTGGCTCTCTATCCATACTGTATGCTATGTCAGCCATTTTGTTGATGTGCTCATCTATACCCTTAATCTTCTTGTTTGTCCTTGCACATCGATCACAGAAGACAAACCTCCACAGAATATGATTTCTTTAGATGCTGGATGTTGCCTGGGAATTTCCTCCTGTGACAAGTTCCCCAGGTGATTTCATTATGCACTCGGGTTTGGGACCCAATGCATTAGGACCTTACTATAGAAATTATCTTCTCTTTCTTACAACTTCAAGCACTCCTACTTCAAAGATCCTTTCATTCAGCCAACAGACATGCTCACATTTCCTTGGACTCTGCTCCAATAAACTGATTATTATCTTCCCAAGTGGACTCCTTGCCTGAAAGAATAGTTTATATACACAGCCTGCTTCATCAACCTCTAACTTCTTACTTAATCTCTTGCAATCTATCCTTCTTATACTCTACTGAAACTGCTTCTGTATCAACCAAATTCAATGCCTTTTCTCAGTCCTCCTCTTCCTCTTTGACCTATCATTCAATGATATTAACCACTCCTTCCTTCTTGAAATTCTATCCTAATCAGACTTATCTACCCACTTAAGAGTCTTGATTCCCCGATTCTTCTCCTAGTTACTCTTTCTTTTCTCATCCTATGATTGTTGGCATTTTTCTCATTTCTACTCCCTGTACACTGGCATTTTTATCTAATTATCACATAACATCAAGTATTGCCTTTACATAGGTTATTTCCAGATCTAGATGTTTTGCCCTGATTTTGGTCCTGCATTTCTAACTATCTATTACAAATCTCCATGTATATTAGTGCAGCTGAACAGAAATAAATACAAAGTAAGACACACATGCAAGTTTACATTTCCTAGTGGCCACATTTTTAAAAAATGATCAAATGAAACAGGTTAAAGTCCAAAATATTTTTCAACATACAGCCAATATAAAAGTATTAATATTTTACATTCTTTTTTGGTACTAAATCTTCTAAATCTGGGGTATATTTAATACATCTCAATTCAAACTGGACACATTTTAAGAGCCCGGATCTAGAGGAATAGCAGAGGTTAGATGTCACAATAATGACAAATGCTCTATGTCCACACTTGAAGCCACTTCCTTCCTGCCCAAATCTGTTCCTTCTTCTGAAGTCCCTACTTGATCGTGGAACCATTTTCTGTCATGACCTGACCTTAAAACTCCTCTGGGACTATTCTCCCTCCCTTTCGCTGAATCATTGTTGAAATGCATCATTTTCCAATCTCTCTCACATATAAATGCTCTTCTTGACTTTCACCATCAATCCCTAGTTTAGGCTCTCATTATGTATTTCTTAGATAAATGTAATTACTTCCTATTTCTGGAAGTTATATTCATATAAAAACAAGGAATAGCAAGAAAATACGATGGAAACCAAACCAAACCAAACCAAACCAAACCAAACCAAACCAAACCAAGTAAAAGAAACCCAGAAATGATAGAAGTTACAGAATTAGTGAAAACTTTCAAAGATCTATTATAAATACATTCAAGGGTTTTAAAAGAAAACAAATATAAAGAGAAGAAACCAGAAGATTGTATATATATACAGTGGGGGAAACCCCCCAAAACCCAGAATTTATTCATAAAAAATTGTGTATTTATTCTTATGTGAGTAAGCTTCAGTCACCTTCAAAGCACTCTCCATTTATGCAATACACCTATGAAGGTTTTTTTCCCCACTGCTCAACACAGTTTTTGAACTCATAGATGTTGGTACTTTTTAGTGTTTCTGCTGTTTTTTGTTTCACCTCTTCCACATTGGGCAAAACATTTCCCTTTACGGACTTTTTTCATCCAGGGAAACAAAAAAAATTTGCTTGGGGCAAGAAGTGGTGAATAGGGAGGGTGGGGCATGAGATCATGCTGTTTTTAGTCAAAAACTGCTGAACACTCAGCCCAGCGTGGACAGGTGCACTTGTAAATCACCCATCATGAAATGGGCAAATGTGCTGAAAGAGTCTTCAGGAAAAATTCACCAAAGCCAAATGCAGCCTTTCACAATGCTAGCAGGGGAAGCCTGTATTACACGAGGCCCACCCTCCAGAAGATAATATTGTTTTTTGGGGGGGATCCCCCATACATAAATAATAACATAATAAAAAGCAGCAACCACCATGTCAAACAAATGACAAAAGCATGTTGAAATTCAGAGAAGGAATTTCATAGGTTAAGTAAGGGATGGCTTCATAGAGGAGGCATTTAAACTGGGCCATGTGAGATGAGTAGGAGTTGGCCGTGTGGAGATACAGTGAAGAAGCATCCGAACAGTGTGTCTAAAACAAAACAGAGAGGCAGGAAACCATAGGTCCACGTGTTTTAAAGGGGTAGTGGGGCTAGTAACAAAAGACAGAGCTAGGAAGAGAATCTGGGGCGAAGTCTAAATGCTAAAGATTTGTGAGCGGCCAGGTGAGTAATTCTCCTTTAATTTTTCCACACCTTTGAGCTCCCAAGTTTATTATTTTTTTTTTTTTACAACCATTTTCTTAACCACACTTCTGGTCTTCCTTTAACCCACTCTCCTCCTATTTTAATATCTTACTAGTGACCATACAGTCCTTAGGTTGCTGTCTTCTAAGAAGTAACTTATGACATCTGAAACAAAACTGTCACAAGCTTCTCTTCAGATAGTAACTTAGACCTTCAGAGAATCTGACTTTGTAGACCACCTTCCGTCTCACCCTGTGCTTTCTCTGACATACCAGATTTCCTCTTCCCTTTTAGATATTCTTTGTCTGTTTTCAGTGGTTTTACTCTTCCATCTTCTCCTCAAATTTAGGTGCTTCTCAGGAGCCTAGTCTCAACCCTCTCTCTCTTTAGAAATTTCATCCATGTTCAGGACTTCACTTCCATCTCTCTTAACGCAGCCATTGTATAAAATCAAGATGGTTGGCCCGATGTTCTTTATCCATTTCTACTTTCATACTTAAATTCGCATTTTCAACTGCCAAATGAATACTTTCATTAGATACCCCATAAATGCATTAAATTTATCATCTTAAAAGTCAGACTGGTCCTTTTGGCTCCTCTTTCCTATTTTTGATAAAGTCACCAGAATGCTGACTGTGAGCCCCACCTTCTGGCACGCCTTTACTTTCCACGGCCGATAAGAAGTCCCGTGCCTCTTCCTTTACAAAGACTTTTCCTTTCTGTGGTTAGTTAACAGCTATCTGAGCTTTCAGGACTTCACTATCACAAGAGTCTCCTCCTTGGTCTACGCCCTTCTGCTCTGATGTTTCTTCCACTCATTTTGCATCCTTATGCCAAATCCCACAATTCTACACCCCTGATCTTCTTAACTCCCTCTTATGAGCTCCCTTCAAACTACTGTTCCAACTTTATCTCTCACATAGGCTCTACGGTTACATTACATTTCAGCCAAAACATACTAGCCATAATTACCTTGGCAAACGCTGAGCTTCAGCACACATGCCCCTTTGTTCATGTCACTTTCATTACCTAAAATGGTCTTTCCTCCCTTTTCTGTCTAATAAAATCTTCCTCACCTTTCAAGGTTTCCTGGAGAAGGGGCACTTGAGCATAAGCCTTTGAGCAAAGTTGTCAACCTCTTGGAGCCTCAGTTTTCTTATCTATAAATTGTGGCTGTATTCAGCACATGTATTATAATAAGACGAATGCAAGTATTAAGGATTAATATGCTTAAGACTGTATCTGGTGCTTAGAAGGCAGTTTTTTAATGACAAAATATACTACAACTGACTGATGATTGTAAAATTACATAAGCAATTTAAAGAATTAAAACAATAAATTA